CAAAAAAAAAAACATGGTTCAGAACGGATTAACCGTATTTACATTGACCCTTATGGGAAAATTTGATTCGGTTGGCGACCAAAATCGGTTGGCGACCACCTTCGTAGGGGTCAGAACAGATTAACCGTATTTACATTGAACCTTATGGGAAAATTTGATTCGATTCGCAACCAATTCGGTTCACGATCAGAGTCGTGGAACAAATTAAGTTCGTGAACCGAGGTACCACTGTACTAGCAAGTAATCAATTTTTCATTGTGGTCTTTGTGAGTCACATCCATGTCATTAATAAAAGTACCAAAGAACAGGACCCCAGGCTAGTCTTCATGTTCAGTTTGACAGACAACCATTGATGAGTCTTGTGGATGGTTTTCGAGCCAGCTGTGCATCTGGTTAATGGGCAATCGCCCAGCCCCCTTTTCCCCGGGAGGCTAATCATTAGGAGCTGCGTACAAAGCCTGATGCAAAACGGGCCCAGGAGGTCCTCATCATACCTTTATTACCAACTTGCTAATGAGATGTAATCCAATGAATGAAACAGATCCCACACTACCAAACAAGAGTATTTTCCCACTCTTGGAAGTCTTGTTCTCACATCCTTATTGCCAGTGCTAGCCAACAACTCTTCCACCACTTCCGAAGGATGTTAAAAGGAACAGAGTTCTGAACCTGACCCTCCCCTTTCCTCATCTCAGTTCTTGATGAAACCCTAACCCGCACCCTGCATTGTCTGTTTGCCCCCCATAATCTGAACTCCTGTGGAGTCTGGTCCTTGGTGGATCTGCTAGACACAGAGGCAATGGGAAGATGTAGCTGTAGAAGTACTGGCAAAATGAGGACCCTGTGATGAATGGAGCAGACATCTCTTCACTTGTAACAAAGGGGTGGAAAGCAGCCAATATGAAGAAAGTCCCAGTGGAGTCTCATGTCTTGGTGCAATTCACCAATTTGGTTCATGCTCTCAACAAAAACCTTCAGACCCCAGAGTCAGACCTGGTTGTAAAGCTGCTCTTCTGGTGATAGACTATGATTAATTTAGAAGAAAGGAATAATCTGATAGGTTTAGTCAATCAAAGTCTGCTGTCATTCAATCCCTGGGACCAAACTCCAACCACAGAAGAAAGGAATTGTGTCCAATCCTGCTTCTCCACCAGTCTTTGAGGCTAGTTGCTATGGACCTCAGAAAACCCTGATTTTGGAAGCTCCAGAAGAAACGGTGCTGGGAGGAGGCAGGCTGAAGAGCTGAAGGAATCAGAGCACCAACGCAGACCAACCACAAACTGGCTGGGGTGGAAATTTGGTCAGCTAAACTATCTGACCTACAAGAGACCAGAGGGGCACAATCATCTTGTGATCACTAACCCTAACCCTAACCCTAACCCGTTTCTTCTTTCACTAGCAGCCAGTCAGGATGGGTCATTCACTTGGATTTGCTACTAGGGTTGCTCTGTTAATTGTTCTCAATGATTTGTAAAGTGGGGCTTATTTATTTGGTTATAACAACATACTCCCAGCCTGTTAGCTCATGTTTAAGGAGCTGGTTTCCAAGTTGTGCTGGAGGTGCATCTGATAACAGCAAGCCCCCGCCCCCGGAGGGGAGGAAGCAGAGCAAAGGCTGGGGAGGGGGACATGGCTCCTTTCTGAAGCATCCCTCCCTCCTTTCTGCACCACCAATCCATTTTCTCTCATTTCTCTCTAAGAAAAAAGGCTGGGGGGGGAAGGGGCTTTGCTGGTTCTCCAAACAGCTGCACTGAGCATGATGCAAAGTGGGTGAGTGTGGCCGTGTCACCTATACAGGTAGGGACAGGAGAGTCAATGCCATTCCTATTTGGGAGACAAACTGATTTACTTATATATTTATTGGTTTTATATCCCACTGACTCCAAAGAGAACCAGTTTGGCCTAGTGGTTAAGACACCCAGCTAGAAAGTGGCAGGTTGTGAGTTCTAGTCCTGCCTGAGGCACGAAGCCAGCAGGGTGACCTTGGGCCAGCCACTCTCTCTCAGCCCCAGGAGGAAGGAGGCCAGGGCAAACTTCCAAAATCTTCCAAAATCTTGCTAAGAAAACTGCAGGGATTAGTCCAAGCAGTTGCCAGGAGCCAATACTGACTCAAAGGCACTAGATACATAAATAGGATGTCTTCCAAAAGCTCCAGCATACACAACTCTCCCTCCTCCATATCTTTACATACCACAACAACCCCATGAAGTAATTGGGCTCAGAGAGAGAACTGGAGCAAAGTCATCCTGTGTCAGCCCCACCAGGTAGACTAGACCAGGCGATCAATTCCATAGAAAGACTGAAACTACTCTGAGTGAAGTAGTTTCATGTGAATCATGAAACCTGGTGCCTCCTCCCCCTTTTATATGCCAGGGAATCGGGGGCGTCTGCCTGAGCTGTTTCCAAATGTTGTTTTATTTCTTTATTAAATTTATATAGACGCCCACCTCATAAGTGACTCTCATGATTATCTCACTTCTGGACTTAAAAAATGCTTTCAGCCCCTTTTGCCTGGGGAATGGTTCTTGCATATTTCCCCCAAGGTCATCTTCCTGACTCTCTACCCCCTAAGAGCTTCCATGTGGACAGACTGGAACCAGCATCTCCCAGCTCCTTATCCAACATCTTATCTACAATGCCACTTGTCAAGTTGCTTTGGAGATTGTGCTCCAGTTTTCATGTGGTTCCTGCCTCACAACAGCAGGAAACTGTTTCTGATATTCAAAAACTGGATGTGGGAAGGGAGGAGAAAGGCTGGCTCCCTGCATGTTGTCAAAGACACTGGGGGAGTGCATTGAGAGGCAATTATCTCCATGTAAGTTGGTGAGACTTTCTGCTGGAACAAAAGTGAGATCTCTTGGCACTTGTGCAAAATCAAGCACAGCAATGACACAGCTGAGCCAGCTCTCCCCCCCACCCCAATCCAATCCATTTTCAACACAGGGAAACCAGGCTGTCTGACAATGCCGCTAAACAAATCTTGGCTAGCCAAAACTTGCAGGTTATTAAATCTGGCTACCTAAAGCTTCAGGGCAGAGACTAGTGGCTGAAAGAAAGATGAGTTTGGCAGGATCTGGCAGCTTGTGGACTGAACAAGAGATTACGGCTGACCAGGGACCCCAGAAGGGTGGGAGGATGGTCAAAAGCAATCCTGCTTACCTTGGCCCACATCTGAAATCGATTTCTCATTTCTGGAAAGTGCTTGCCAGTTTGCATGTGGTTTCAGTTATCTGGATTATTAAATTAATGGACATTAACAGTTGAAGACCCTTTATTGGAATGCACTGCTGGAGTCAACTGTGAATGGAAAAGCAAAGTGTAAAATTAACAGGGAAAGGAGAAGACTGTCTGGGGCCAAGCACTCCTCAGGTGCGTGAAAGAGTTATGGCAAGCAGGGATGGGGGGCTGCCAAGAACATGTCCTATTGCCTAGACGCAGGCTGGAATGTCCCGACAGCATGGATCAGGAACTGCCATCATGGGCCCGGCAGGGAAGATGCTCCGTGTGCCAACTGCAGCGTCCGTGGTGGGAGTGTAATTCCCATCCCTTATAGGATGCTGCAGACCTCGCCAGTTATTTCCAAGGCAGGGACACAGATACATTGGCCTCCAGGCCTGAAGATGCAGACGACTGCAGATGCAGATCCCGCAGCTGCCAGGGCTTCTGGTCCGGCATCCGTGGGGCCTCGTCTCCTCTCCAGCCAAAGCCTTACAGGCCTGAAGCACCAGCTGAGCAGCTTGGGGGGGGTTGATGGAAGCTGCCCCCCAGGGGAGCCTCAATCTCATTGAGCCTTTGCTAGCTTGATGGGGGTGGGGGCCATGGGGCGCCCGTCTTCGCAGTGAGAAGGGGCTGGCGAGGGCAGCGCGCTGGTGATCTTCGGCAGGGGCTGCTTTTCCCATTCACCCTGGAGAGAGAAGGGAGACTTTCTGGAGTGTCTGCGGCACGATCATCTGCGAGGGCATGTAGGGACATCCCCCAGCATGACTTGGAAAGAAGAGATGGACCACGTATAGCCACAGGCTCAGAAGTACCCCGATCCTGTCCCTGGTCCCTGGAACCCGAAGAAGCCTCGTGGGCACTTGCTGAGCTCTGGAGACTCTGCAGCCCTTTTCTCTCCACACGGGCAGAGTGGGCAGAGCAGGCAGAGCGGGCCTTCTCTCCCCTTGGGGGCAGGCATGATTGACAATCCGCAAATGCTCGTTAGGAGAATCACAGTAATGGGAAACTGCATCTTGCAACCAGCCCAGTACAAATTACACCAATTTATTTTTTTCTCTCTAAAGTCTATCTTATTCTGACAACAAATGTGCAAAGATTCAATTTCTATAAATTCTATATTTTTTGTGGGGCTAACACTGGTGGAGAAGGCTATATTTATACCATCTTGAGCTCATAAAAGGAAGACACAATTTAAAGCCTCATTTGCTCCTTATTTAGTCTTCTTATTCCTGCTGTTTGCATTCCCTTCTCACTGCTTTTTGCAGGAGAGCGTCAGTTGCTCTTCTGCTTCCAACTTTCAGCTGCCTGAATTTTCAGAGCCTTCAAAATGGCAAGTGTGCTAAGCCCTGTTCCAAAGAAGCTGGACTAACAGCTGATCCGCAGCAAGGAGGGGTTGGAAGGTGAAGTGGAAGAGAGGGGGCTTGGCTTTGCTGGCCAGAGCCCCCCTCCTCAAGGTCTGGGCAGCTGTTAGCCTGGCTGATCCCTCTTTCCAAGTTGGTCTCTTAGAGACATTTGGCAATGCAGGGGGACCCTGTGGGGGGGGGGGGGATAGTCTGGTTTGAAAAATTCAGCCTCCCCCCCCTGCCCCCAGAGACCAGGACCCAGGACCTGAAGGGGAGGGGGGTGTCTGCCCCATCTTCCAGTGGCCATAGGTCAGGCATTTGCCAGATTGTAAAAGTAAAAGCTCCCTTTGCACAAAGCTTCCTCAATCTATCTATCTGCATGTGTGTGTATGTACACACACACACACACACACACACACACACACTTCTGTTCAACATCAACAGAGTTACAGGAATTTTTAAAGTTCCAGGTTTAAAGGAGCCTCATTTCAGTCTCCTGAAGATTCTCCTTTGACCCCCTCACCAGCATCTGAGGCTCCCTTTCTGTTTGCAAGACAACAGTGACCGTTTCTCCCATGATGGTCAAGAGCCCTCACTAGCCTCATCCCAGTTCAAAGAGGGCATCTGATCAGCGCGGCAGCAGGCTCCTTTCTGATGGGTCAGATTTAACCCCAAGCCCACCCCTGTGATCAGCAGAGCCCTCCAGCATGAACCAAGCTCACCCAAGGCAGTCCAGATAGTCAGGAGTTTCCCCACAGGGTTTTCTGATGTGCTATTCCTACCGGAAAACGGACAGCCGAGGATTTATTGCAATGCATAGAAATTGGAGCAAAGTCGTACAGGGCTTTCAGGACTTCTCTACTGAAAGAGTTCCAAGGAACAGAAGAAAACTGCTTTGCGACTGAGGTGTCTGGACATGTGCAGATGTCTTCATCGTTGAATCTACCAGAGGAGAAATGCTGTGCATCAGGAATGGGAAAGCGGGGGAAAAGGAAAGTCTCAGCAACAACAGCAAAGAATTTACAGCATGCAGGAAAATTTTATAAACGCTCTGCAATTTTCAGTGCATTTTGGTATGCGTGTTTCTCAGTGGTATGGGAGGACGTAAGAAACTGTCTTTCAAAGTACAGTACTTTGGAAAATAGGTACTTATGGAAAATAGGTACTCACTCAAATGAAATGTAACATGCACAGAAGAAGAAGAGGAAGAGGAGGAACGTATTAATGAAACAATCACATTTCACATACGCTATGAAAATAGAGTAACACTGAACACAGGGTTACATTACATTTGTACATTTGTCTATAGGGAGTTTTCAAGTGTAAAGTAGATATTGGCCAGGGTCCTTTCATGATTCATCTTTTGGCTGTTATTTCCAATGCAATTTTGAGCAATACAATTTTCTTTCTGCATCAACGGGCCACAGTCAGAAGCATTAGGAATCCCCTCAGGCCTGCACACGCCAAGGTCAGAGAGGCAGCAAACCCTTGGCTGCAGAAGAGGCCACGTGCTCTCAAGCCCTCCACAGACGCTCCACCACGCATCACGTCTTCCGGGGCTGGAAGAAGGAGCCAAACAGGTTCCCGTGGTGCAGGGCTCTGGATCTAAGATACGTCAGAAAGCCTGCCATCCTATGTCCTGCCCAGCCTCTCAATTGCCGTGCATTATTATTATTTACTAGTTTCTAATCAGATCTGCTTTTAATGATCTTCATATTCGTATGATCACATATCACATCCTACTATATACAATTCTATGTTCTCTAAGAAGGTCACACAGTTGTTAAATCCAACTGGCTACCATTTTAGAAGTCTTATGAAAACGGTCCTGTGCTGGATGTGCCCCTTTTCACCTGCCTTTAAATATGCCCCCTTCCCTCTCTAGGAACCCGGCATACATTTTCTGAAACCTTAAGGGGTCCCAAACAGGGTCTACAGTGTCAAGGTCACCTTCCAACACCTTCCACAAATGAGGCTCTGGATTTCCTGGTGACTGTCTTTGGGGCTTTGACCACCTTGGTCATGCCAGTGGGAGAGAACTGGCCAAGCGCGGACACTCTGCCCGGCCAGCTGTCGGGAGGATGAGGAGGGTCCCCCGGCCTTTATGTGGCCTTCCACGGGATACGGCCTCCCTCCCAGCCCCATTACTATCCCACTGCTTCTCCAAGAGCCCTTGCTCCTTCCTCAGTCCCCGGTGGGAGATGGACCTGCACAGTCCTCCCAACTTCCTTCTTTGACAAAAGCCGCAGTAACGGCAGACCGTTCCACTTAAAAACTTCATCACTGCCTGCTCTGGGTGTCTAACTGCTGCCACCACTGGGTGGATTTGGACGCAAGATGGCAGCCCCCGCTGTTCCTTGCATCGTGTTACCTGTTGAGCAGCTTAAAATAGCGGTGCAGGTACCCCCAGTCGACAGCACTTTTACACAGCTCCAGTTCTGTTTGGGGATAGTAATGCACGTAGTTCACACACATCTCTTCCATGATTCCAAAACCACCCTGCAAGTTGGAGAAAAGGAAAGGGGAGCTCTCAGCATTTCCACAACTGGAAGGTCCCCCCCCTCACATTGACCCCCTTCTCCTCAGCCTCACTCGCACTATGTTTCAACCAACACCAAGGACAGTTGCCACAAATCACTGCTGGAATGTGATCAGCTGATGCAAATACTGTACTGGGTTGAATAATGACTTTTTACCTTGCAGACTTTTTTCCTGGTTTTGCCAGCAATGGGGGAAAGTGCTGGCCAGCTGGAGCCCACTCCCAATCCCTGGCAGTGCTGTCCTCCCTTTGGCTCCTGAGCTCCCAGGCTGCTTCCTGTGCATTCCCAGGAAAGCATCCGGGTTTTGGCAGGATGTAGCAGACCAGAGGCGGCACCTTGGCCCTTCTGAGGGATCCTTGGACAAAGGGCCTTCCCCGCCAGCAGCAAAAATGCCTCCTGCGTTTCTGCAAGCTCCTGGGCAACCATCAGGGCCCATGGCGGGATCATGGGTGCCTTGCCAGGGCTGCTGATCCTGCAAGCGACTGCAGTCCCACTGAGGGCGCGAAGCTTCAGCTTCTGTCCTGCTCTGCTTTGGGCCAACACAAGGGCAAGAGATGCAGCCAAGGAGATCATCAGCGGCCTATTTTCCAGGTGCTCATCAGCCTTCAAGGGGCGGGGCGGGGGGGAAGTCCTGTAAAGTGAATATTTACTATTTATAATCTGTTTATGCTGCTTCAGTCTAACAGCATTCCAATATGAGATAGTGCCACGAGAGGGCTACCAAAAAGCTGAATGCAACTTGAGGTACTATTTCTTGATTCCGCGTTATTCCTCCTGGAGCCAACTTCACCTGAATGAGTCCTGCTTCCAGTTCTGAGCACCAGATTTTGCAAACCATCAAGTGAAAGGGCTGGAAAGGAGCATGAAGATTGTCTGATCCAACCTAGCCTGCCCAAAGAAGGAGTGTCCACCGCCTCCAGAAGCTGCCTTGCCCACGGTAGGGTGGCTAGGATGCTCTTTCCGGGGCCCAGCTGAATCCAAGAAGGGTTTGGGCTAATTCATGTGCATCCACAGGGGGAGAGTGAGGAGAGCTGAAAGACCGAAGGCATGGAGCAGAGGAGAGGAGGTAGAAGGAAAAGAATACAGGTATCCCTCACTTAACGATGCTGAGTGGGACCAAAAGCTCCATCATTAAGTGATGCGGTCATAAGTTGAAAAACCATGTGACTACACCGCTTAGTGATGGCAGTTCTGGTAGTCCCAGTTGCTGTCATTAAGCAAGAACCTCATGTGACCGTGACTTGTGACTTCCTGCCGGCTTCCCCATTGACTTTGCTTATTGGAAGCTGGCAGGGAACACTGGAAATTGCAACCATGTGAGCTCGCTGCGATGTCATGATTGTGAGTCGGATGTCAAGTGCCTGGATCATAATCAGGTGACCGTGAGGATTCTGCAACAGTCATAAGTATGAAGACTTGGTTGTAACTACCACTCGTTCAGTGCTGTCATAAATTCAGTGGTCATTAAATGAAGACCAGCTGTAATTCCCTATCATTCCAGAGTGGCAACTGGGAATAACAGATTTAAGGGCTCCAGAGGCTGAGCATCCAACTGAATGTTAAACAAAGTCCCTAATAGAAAGACCAGTTGGAAGTGGAGGTGGGCTCAAGCAGAGCCCACTGTCACTTTGCTTTTCATCTGAGCTCCTGCGGATGGACTTAAAGGCCTTAAGGCTTCCTTCAATCTCCAACTTTTTGACTTTAGGAACCACTGCGGAGTCTCAGGGTAGCCAAGCACAAAATACGTGTCACACGGAAAAGCTGATTACTGAAACAGAGTTCCAAAATGGCAGGTGATGATCAGAAAATTGTTTTCAAGGCAAAATAAACATTTGAGACTCCTTCCAGCTTCCAGAGAGAAACCCAACTCACCACCGTTGCCTCATTCCTGTCTTCTGTGTTGTACATGCAGGTGGTCCTCAGCACATCACCCTGTTCACAGAAATCATGCCTGGTTCAGAGCTTCCTGGGGAGGAAGGGGCTGGAGCAGCAGCATCTAAGGGAAGTGCGGCCCTTGTGGGTCCCCTCCATCCCTGAGCCCCACAAGGGCCCCCAGCTGCTGAGGGCTCTGTCCTCAAGGGAGAGGCACACTGGCACTGGGCCACAGAGCGCAGCGAAGGAACGGCCTGTGCAAGCCAGGGCTGCTGCCTGTTGCATCTTGCCTCGGCCTCCCGCAGGGCTCAAATGCACGGGGGGTCGGGTGGCCAAAGCCTCCAGCAACCCTTCCCCACAGCCGTACTCCTCTCCAGGCGAGTGCAGCCCCCGCGTGAGTGGCCAGAGCCGGAGGCGAAGGGCCACGTGGGCCGAAGGCAGAGGGGTCTGATTTGCCTGCCTGGCAACGCTGCAACTGCAAACCCTGGTGAAAGTAGCCTACAGGGGGGCACCTGTTGCTGGCCTGGGGGCCCCGCACGCAGGGAAGGCTCACTCCCCGACCCAGCACACTCCCTCCCCACATCCGCTGCTCAGGCATGGGGGAGGCTGCCTGCCCATTGCAAATGGGGTGGGCATCAGGGAAAGGGGTAACCCTGGTTAAATTTCATGGCAGTGTAAGAGGGGAGCACTGGAAGGGGGCCAATTTTGGTTCAATAGTTAGGCTAGTTCTTCTCCAGAAAAGAATAGATGTTCATTTCTGAAGTAGTGCAGGAGCGGACTTACCGGGTAGACGGACACGACTTCTTTCAGCATGCGGATCTCCTAAGGAAAGCGGGAGCCAGGAAGGAGGGGAGGATTGGCAAAGAAAGGGCCAGCGGGGAGGGTGAGGGCGAGGGCAGGGAAGTTGCTGCTTACTTCCAAATGTACCTCTATCATTGATTAATTCCTGATATATAATCAGAACAACCAGACTGATATCCCGTCACAATCATAAAAGACTCTCAGCAGCTCACAAGCCTAAATAAAGTGGACCAATCTTCTAATACGAGGCATTGGGCCCCCAAAGCCCTCTGGGAAGGCTCTGCTTTCACTTTCTCCAGAGGGCAGATCCCGTGGGAGACGGGGACCACCGGCGGGAGGCCGTTCCACAGTGCTGGCCCCATCATGGAAAGGCTCTTCTGGGCAGCGGCCGCGACCTCCGGCTTCAGTCTCCTGGGGCCGCAGGCGAACTTCACAGGCAGCAGCGGCAGCAGAGACTGACAGGCCCCCTAAGTGCCCGGGAGGCCTCGCAGACACTTTGCGTCCCAAGCAGCAAACAGAGTGAGACAAAACCCCACACTAGGTTGCTGAGCACAAACCCCTCCCAAACTGACCACCACTGAGGCCAGCTAACCTCCCACGCAACTGAGGCAAAGCGATTTAGGAGACGAGAGCCTTTGCTTTGAAAAAAAAAGCCAACCTATAACGAAAGGGCACGATTCCCTCAATGCTGGGGAACCCCATCCCAGAGAGTGGGGTTGTGGTTGCGACTACTGCCAACACAGAGACCACGGCCTAATAGATCAGACAGCAGCTTGCAAAGAACTGTAGAAACAAGGGCCTTCAGCTTTTGATGTTAGCTTATAATTTTGATTTTATTTTATTCATTCATTCATTCATTCATTCATTCATTTATGAAATTTGTATGCCACCCATCTCCCCCACGGGGGGATTTAACGGGGAGCAAGTATTAATTGGGGAGACTTCTCCACGGCTGTTCTTTTTCCAGCAAGGCCAACCTTCCTTTGCTACATTCTCCCCACCCTCCTGCCCCATCGTTTCTGCCTTTGGTCTCCAGGCCCCTCTCGGTCCACTCCCGTGCTTCACGTTCCAACTTTTCTCCTTCTCAGCTCAGAAGCTGTTTGGAAGAATGAGGGATCCCTCTCTCCCCCCGCCCCGCCTTTGCAGGGTAAAAGGAAGGAGGGAGGAGACACATCAGCCCCTCCGGAAAAGCAGAAAGTTACGCTGCAGCCCTTTGTCGAGCACCAGCCCCCCCTCCAGGGACCAAGACGAGGCACTCCCCTCTGTCCTGGGCCCCAGCGGGGATGGAAGAGCAGATCCCCTGGGACCCTGTCTGGATAAATGCCGTGCTCAGAGCCCCTGGGCGGGGGGGGCAGGCTTTTCCACAGCAGAGTGGCTGTTTCTCCTTTGGGGTGGCGGGGCCCTCCTGCTGCTACTGAGGACTTAAGAGCTCATCTCCTGAGCCCATAACCCCGATGACATTTCCTCCAGTGAGAGTTAGATCCAAGATCCTTTCCCTGGCTGGCCACCTGTGTACCTGGAAGTGGGGGCTGTAGTGCCTGTCCCTGTTGACAATTTCCCACTCTCTCCCTTCCCGGGACAGCGTGGTCACCACACTCCTTCCGGCCAGGTGCGTGTGGAGCTGAGAAGCAAAGATGTGAATCCCAGTAGGTGGCAAAGCCTGCAGAGAGGAGGAGGAGGAGGAGGAGGGGAGAGGAGAGGAGAGGAGAGGAGAGGAAGATAAGCACATTCCTTCACAGAACATTCCCAGTGGAAGGCGACCGAGGTGGGACCCTGACATTTCTCTTGTTCCGGACCCTCTGAAGTGACTCAGCCTTGAAAGAAGGGGCTTTGCAGGAGTCCCTTCCGAGAAGCTCCGCCCCTTGCCCGAGAGGACCCTGCTTTGCCCGCTGGGCTTGGCGTGGGTTGGGGGTAAGAAGCAGCTACCTGCTTCTCAGGAGCGCCCTTTGGAAAACTTTGGGCTGGCCCAATTTGCTTCCAATCTGCTGAATGCAATCCTGGATCAGAAATAAGGTTTAACCGCTGGAGCGGGATGACTCTGTTGCCTCCTCTGCTGCATTGGAGTGTGAAACCGCCACGGTTTCTGGGGCACTGCAGAAACCCTGCTGTGTGGATGCCAGGCCGCATGTACTGCATAACCAATGCGCAAATGGCGCCCTGTATTTTTAGAGCAGCTGTAAGCTGAGAATTGGGCAATCAGACGGGGTCCCTGCCAGCCTCCGCCACAGGGCAGACAGGCACTCCCTTCAGATGTTCCCTGCGTCTCCTTCAAGTGGCTGCTGTTCCCGGCTGAGCGGCCTGGCAGACCCTGGCTGCCCAGGGTAGGATGTTGCCCGCTGTTGATGAGGAGGCCACACAGGAGGACCGGAAAAGGAGTGGGATGACTCCTCTGCTCTTGGCAAGGGATTCCATTTAAATTTACTTTGTTGTTTTTAACCTGATTACTATATCGGGGAAATTGGATGCCATGCAGAGTCAGTCTGATTGAGGAGCATAGAGGCTGAAGAATGACCGGAAGAAGGAAAGAGGTGGGAGAGACAGCCGCCTGAAGAGCTGCAGGCCGCGATTCCCCCCTCCCCGCCCAGTCCCCAGTCCCAACAGCAGTTTCTCCACTTTGAGATAGAGAAGGGATCACCCCGCGTGGCTCTGCGAGGGTTATTCAGGCACTTAGGGGGCCTCACCAGTTGAGTGCATTTGTCCGTGCAGTATCCCGTGAGGGAGAAGTGGCTCTCGCCAGGGGGAATCGCCATCACCGGCGTGTAGACCAGGCCCAGTTCCATGATCCCAGCATCATACCGCCGGAGGGAGGCCGTGTAATGGAGCCGGATCCCCGAGGAGTCTTGGCGGCCTGGAAGAAGCAAAGAGGCAAGTTGCGCAAAGCCCTCAGGGGCACCTGTGCCCAAGAACATGCACTGCCTTCTTCGCGAGGGAAGGCCCCATAGAGCTCAGCATGGATCACGTTTTGGGGCGTGAAGCTGAAGCTGAGCAGGACGGCCCTTGGAGGCTGCCTCAAGACCCGCCCAGAAAGAAACAAAATGCTAACAAAGCCAAGGTCAGGCCCAGGAATCCCAGCGAAGCCACCCAACCTTGGCATCTGTGCCTTCAGGCTCCAGTGTGCATCCGCCTCTCATGGGGTCTATAGACCTCAGGCTGCTTCACGGGGGACCGAGGAAGAGCTGGGGAAGGCCTGGCCTGTTGATGGATCCTGCCTTGCATCTCCTGCTCCTGCTCTTGGTCCAGCGCCTGGCTGCCTAGGAATTATGGTGGCCCTTTCGCCCCAAGAGTGTGTTGCGCCGAGGACAGCTTCTGCCCTTCTGGGCCCTGGCAATGCCCATGGTCACTGGCTGGTCTCACGGCTCCCATGTGCCAAGCAGTTTGCCCCTCCCTTCCTTTGGTGATTCCTTGGCCCCACTGAAAGTTGCACCATGCTGGATTCACATTAGGCGTGGCCACCAGCAAAAGGGGGTGACGAAGCCAGAGCCTTAATCCCCGCTGCGTGAGCCTCCCAGGGTGTGAGCAAGGTCAGCAACGAAATTCTCTGAGAAACACCAAAGGGCATCTCTTCAGACAAAGGACTTTTCTGAGGCTGCACATGCATGTGCCTTCTGCAAGGGCGAGAGGGTCAGCCAAGTGCCCCTGGCCAGTCAGAAATCCCACCTCCAGGATGCTCCTACTTCCGTGTAAAGGGTCATAATCTGCAACTCCTACCCAGGGAACATGCTAAAGGCTGAATCTGGGTTTGTGTTTGGGTAGAAAGGAAAAAGATTCCTTCTTGTTTTCAGGAGATGCCCTCCATAACAGAGTCACATCATGCACAATTTTGGGAAACCAGGACCAGGTAGGTGGAGAGGTTTCCTTGAAGCTTGAAAGATCTTCTTCAAACTACCCCAAGGTAAGCAGGGTTTGAAAACTAGAAAGTTGGGGGAAAGCCCCCCTACCCCACCCAAAGTTAGAGAAGTTCTGCCCTAAAAGAGCACACAAGTTCTGCAACGGGAGCCTTTGCCAGGGCAAGTGCGACGTCTAGCAGTCCCAGCAGCCTGTTCCCTCCAGGTCAGAGGAGGGAGGATCTTGGGCTGCCTCCAGGTTGGGGGCTTTGGGCAGGATGACCTCCGTGAGTACCTCAGCTCCTCCTCACCACTGCCACCCAAACCTGCCCATTGCACAGCTTCCCTAAGACCCAAAGCTGAGCCATCCAGGTGGCAGAGAATCTGGTCACCCCTTGCCTGCTTGCAAAGAAGTGGGCAATTGTCAGCAGGGAGGACGAGACATGGAGCTGGAAGTGGTCAACAGAGGCTGAGTTCTGATAAGGCCAACGGAAGTTGTTCCCCTGCCAAATATGATCAGAAGCTCTGCCTTTGTTCTCTTTTCTTTCATTTTCCAGACAAGAAAGCAGTACAAAGAAGGCCTTCCACTCTGCACCCAGCCTTAGTTGACAGTTCAGATAATTTGGGCAGCAGGTCCCTGTCCAGATACTCTTTTGTGGTATTATCCCCAGGTTTCCCTGGAAGAGGAAAGGCTTGGAGCCCCTGTTTCATAAGTGGGCGATTAGAATGGCAGGAGGGCCCATCGAGCCCCTTGAGCTGAACCTCCTGCTCTGCTCTGGGCTCTGTTATTAGAAATCCCTACATCGATGGAACCAGGGAAGGGGAGCCCACCAACTTCCTCTGTCATTGGTCAGAGTAGTCTTGTGGCAAGGAAGTTTTGTCTTAACATTCACTCTGAACCCCTTCAATGACTCGCCCGCAACTTCTCTAAGCATAGCTGGAAAAAAGAGAATTTCTTAGAGCTTAAAATCTAGAGTACAGGAACTAATTGTCCCCCTCTGCTCTGCGATGTCAGCCCCACTTGGAACACGGTGTCCAATTCTGGGCCTCACCATATAGAAGTGTCAACCTGGAGCAATTTGAGAGCGTAGGATCCCTCCCTCCCATGCCCCAAATGGCTTCTCCCATTGTGCAGAAGAGAGGAGGCTCCGCTTGATGTCCTCCTTCTGCTACCCTGATGTACCCAAGAGGGTTCAGGCTGGAATAACCAAAGGCTGCTCCAGGCTAATTAGCCCCAGGGGCTCCAGGAAGGTCTGTGTGTCTTTTAGATAGATACAGAGATAGATCGATGGGTAGATTGTTGTTATTGAGGGCTCTGTGCTTTGATCACTTCCCTTTGTTCATTTCTCTCTCTCCCTTAACTGTTTTTGATGCTTGACGTTTAATAAATAAACAAATGTCACACTATAAGTTTTTGCCCACAAGAACTGAGTGGGGTGTGTGCTTGCTCCAGTCTACATATGGGGATCAGCTGGGAGTGTGCTGGGTGCAAAGTAAACTGAAAATCACCCATAGGAATTTCCCAGCACAGAGGAGGGAGACCTAGACAGTGAGGAGATGGGAAACCAAGTCCCACAGGGATCTGCAGAAGAAACTACAAGGGAAATGGAACCGCAGGCCTCAGGTATCTGAAGGGATGTCACATGGAAGGCGGGGTGGACTGATTCCCTCTCGCTCCCGAGGGCAGGACCAGACTCAGTGGGCGAACCCGATTCGGGTAAGTGCCGTTGACCAGTGGAATCAACTGCCTTGTGATATGTTGCCTCTGGCTTCACACAGAGGCTGGACAGATGATTGTCCGCAATGCTTCAGCAAATCCAGCCCTGGCAGTTGTTCGGGCTCTGGGTGCCTTCCCGCTGTGATCCTATGAAGCTGCCCATGAGCTGGGGGCCAGGAATCAGCTGGGGGCTCTCTTGCTACTGGCCTCAGGAGCAGCCAGCTGTGGGGAGACCCCATAGCACAGGATGGAGAATACTGCTGCGGCCAGGCCAGCAAGCCTTGGCTGTGGGGCTGGGAAGAAAGAGGCAGCTGTCACATTCCCCTGGCCACTTTGCTGGTGGCCCTCAGAGCACCACCACTGCTTCTCAGGAGGCCCTGGGGCTGCTGCCAGAGACGGGCTCCTGGCTGGTTCCTTCTTCCTAAAGCCCGGCTCCTGGTTACCCCATGAGTGGGCTTGCGCTTTGGCTGAGGCACGTCCAAAGTCTAAGGATAACAGGGGACCTTATTGGCAGAAAGAAAGGACTCAGAAGCCCCCTTTCCCTAGAGCTGGGTTGCATCCCAGCCCTCGGCGTGAAATACGACTGAAGCACAGCACAGATGCTGCACTTTTCTAAAATTACCCTCAGAGAGCCAAGGAACAGGCAGCTCCGCGTTTATATAAGCACAGCCCCTCCGTGCTTCTTTTTTTAAACCTGCCAGCTGTCAAAATACAGCGCAAGTGGGGAGGGTGCCATCTGAGTGAGTTCAGGGGGGGCCTCCTTCCCAGGCTACCAAAGGGCGACAGGGATGGGGGGAGCTTTCTCGGGGTGGAGGGGTGCGCAGTGGCCCCCTGGGAGTCCAGGTTCATCTGCAAAGTGCCTGGCATGGCCCTTTCTCACCTGCAAGGTGGCTAGATTCTCCTTTCATTCGGTTTGGGGGAGGTGGCCACTATCCTGGCAGGAGAGTGGTGATCCTGGCCTCATGAAAGGAGTGACCTGGCCAAATGCAGGCATGCGGGAGGCCCAGGAGCCTTGGCAAAGGAAGAGGAAGCCCATAAAATAAATTGTGAGAAGGCTGCCTTGTTCCTCCTTGTCAAGGCCACTCCTGAAGAAAGCCCTCTTGTGTTCCTCTCTGAGACCTCCTTCTGTACACATGTATGTTGCAGATGACTCCTGTTCTTCCTTCTTGGGCTACTGGGTCTTTTGGTTATCAACTAAAGCTCTCCAACACATCTTAAGTAAACCAAAAGACCTAGCAGCCCAAGAAGAAAAACCAGGAGTCATCTACAACATACAGTGTAAGGACTGTAACAGCCGCTATGTAGGACAACAGGCAGAATAGCAGAGTGCATCCATGAACACCAACTAGCAGTCAGAAGACATGATGAAAACTCCTTAAT